GTGTTCATTGGAAGGACTGATGCTGAAGCTGAAACTCCAATACTTTGGCCACCTGATGCGAAGAGCTGACTTATTTGAAAAGACCCTGATGCTGGGAAGGATTGAAGGCAGGAGGAGAAGGGGATGACAGAGGATGAGATGGTTGGATGGCATCACTGACTCAATGGACATGAGTTTGAGTAAACTCCGGGAGTTGGTGATGGACAGGGAGGCCTGGCGTGCTGCAGTCCATAGGGTTGCAAAGAGTCGGACACAACTGAGCGACTGAACTGAATTCATACCATGTTTCTAGATTCCACATATGTGAGTTAATAAGGATATTCACTTTTCTATGACTTTCTTCACTCTGTATGACAGTCTCTAAATCCATACATGTTTCTACAAATGGCCCAATTTCAATCCTTTTTATGACCAGGTAATATCCCATTGTATATATGTACCACACCTTCTTTATCCACTTCTCTGTTGATGAACATTTAGGTTGCTTCCATGTCCCAACTATTGTAAATAGTGCTGCATTGAACATTGGGGTGCATGTGTCTTTCTGAATTATGGTTTTCTCTGGGTATACACCCAGTAATGGAATTGCTGTGTTATACCTAATTTTAGTTTTATAAGGAACCTCCATGCTATTCTCCATAGTGTCTATATCAATTTACATTCCCACCAACAGAGTACGAGGGTTCCCTTTTCTCCACACCCTCTCCAGAATTTATTGTTTGTAAATTTTTTGTTGATAACCATTCTGATCAGTGTGAGGTGATACCTCATTGTAGTTTTGACTTGTATTTCTCTAATAATTAGTAACGTTGAGCATCATTTCGTGTATTTGTTGACCATCTCTGTGTCTGCTTTGAGAAGTATCTATTCAGGTCTTTTGCCCATTTTTTGATTGGATTTTTTACATTGAGCTATATGACCTGCTTGTATGTTTTGGAAATTAATCCTTTGTCAGTTGCTTCATTTGCTATTATTTTATCCCATTCTGAGAGCTGTTTCTTTGTCAGATTTATGGTTTCCTTTCCTGTGCAAAAGCTTTTAAGTTTAATTATGTCCTATTTGTTTATTTTTGCTTTCATTCTCATTACTCTAGGAGGTCAATCAAAAAAGATTTTGCTGTAATTTATGTCAAAGAGTGTTCTGCCTATGTTTTTATCTAAGAATTTTATAGTGTCTGGTCTTACATGTAGGTTTTTAATCCATTCTGTTTAACACCATTTGTATATGGTGTTAGGGAATGTTCTAATTTCATTTTTTAACATGTAGCTGTCCAGTTTTCCCAGCACCACTTATTGAAGAGGCTGTCTTTTCTCCATTGTATATTCTTGCCGCCTTTGTCATAAATTAGGTGTCCATTGGTGCATGGATTCATCTCTGGGCTTTCTATCCTGAAGAACAGCTTTGTATTTTCTGAAATAAAAAGCCATTGTTTTTTGCAGCAACACGGATAAACTTAGGCAAATATCATATGATATCACTTACAAATGGAATCTTAAAAAAGGATAAAAATGAACTTATTTACAAAACAGAAATAGACTTGCAGACGTAGCAAATTTATGGTTACCAAAGGTGAAAGGGAAGGGAGAAGATAACCTAGGAGATTGGGATTGACATAATATACACACTACTACACTACTATATACAAAATAGATAACTAACAAGAACCTGCTGAATAGCACAGGGAACTCTGCTCAACATTCTGTAATAACCTATATGGGGGAAAAAATCTAAAAAAACAAATGGATATATGTATATATGTATCTCATTCACTTTGCCGTGCACCTGAACCTAACACAACATTGTAAGTCGACTATATTCCAATACATATTTTTTTAAGCCAGTGTTTTTACCTCTGAAGGTTTGAACAAATGCCCATTAATTTATTCAATCATGATAGCTGTACCTCACAGAGGTTTGTTTATTCTGGTTCCAAAAAGCTTTGGAAATCCAAAAAAGGGAAAGAAGACTTAATGAGGACATAACACTCTTAAATATGTAAAGGGCTGTCATATTAAAAAGTTGGCAGATTTATGTGTATCTATAATACAGAACTGGCAGGAAGGGAAACACAGAAGTCTTCCTCCTCATGTGGTCGTGTAGAAGAAGTAGGAGACTTTTTAAAGACATAGCCAAAGGGTGTAACCAAAGCCAATGAAGGGAAACAGTTATATCACTCTTAGAATTTTCTGAATTTGGTTTAATACAGATGTAGAGGCTGCAACATTAGGAATATGATAGGAAAGAAACTACATATTTCTTTGGGTTAGTCTAAAGGTTGACTTTATACAAGGCCAAGCTAGAATTCTCTGACCCTGTAGGATCCATATACACAGAAAATATTCACTTTTCTCTATCCCTAAAAGTTGAGTTCTCACCTTAGTTTGCAAACAAAAGCATACAGGAACCCTGTTCCTCGACCTTCAGCTCTTACCCACACATCAGCAGAACTATAACTGGCTTTTCCAGTCAGCCTGTGATATCCACTGTGTTCCTTTTTAGATCAGACCATTTGCAACACTATTATTCCCACTACCTCAATAGTTGAAATTATACCATTCAACAAAATAGTTTCTTTTTGTGAGAAACCATTTTAAGAAGCGTTGTGTNATTTATTTTTGCTGTGCTTATTCATCCTTGCTGCACAGGCTTTCTCTAATTGCAGCGAGCAGGGGCTACTCTTTGTTGTAGTGCATGGACTTCTCATTGCAGTGGCTTCTCTTGTGGCGTGCAGGCTGCAGTACATGCAGGCTTCAGTAGTTAAGGCATGTGGGCTCTAGAGAACAGGCTCAATGGTTGTGATGCATGGGCTTAGTTGCTCCGGGGCATGTGGGATCTTCCCAGACCAGGGACTGAATCCATGTCTCCTGCACTCCGGCAGGCAGATTCTTTACTACTGAGTCACCAGGGAAACCCCTGATTTATTTCTGTCTCCTCTATTATATTATAAACTGCATGAGGACTGGAATCTGAATTTTTTACTTCTCTGCTCAAATAATTTAGCACAGTGACTGGAAGATAAAATGCACTTTAAAAATATTCGGAGGAAAAAAAAAAAAAATATTCGGAGAAAGACTGAGTGGCCATAGATATAGGAGGAAAGCCAAGTGTCACTGAAATCAAGGACTTGTTCACTAATGTCAGTTGATGATATCTGATAACTTCACGTTTCAACTTCAGGTTGATTAAGGTGCATCAAGGATGTTAAGGAGGACTTCGATGGTGGTTGAGTGGATAAGAATCAACCTGCCAATGCAGGAGAAACGGATTCCTGGTCCAGGAAGATTCCACATGCCTGATCAAGGAAG